ATCGGACCCTTGGAAGCTGCTGGAGAAGGATCAGGCACTGCTCGAACGCATTCATCGTGGAAGAACCCTCCGTAAACACCACGTTGCCGTGAGGGGTCAATGCGGACGACTCATCACGGAGCCGCCTGCACACATGCTTTAGCTGGTTGTAGTCGCTCCCATGGCGCTGGGTCTGCGCCTTTGCGATGCGACGTGATCGGTGGTAGAGTCTTGTGAGAACGCTCTTGCGGCTCGAGGCGTTCCTCGCCTTTCTGCAAAGCCTCCCTACACCGTTTTTGCCCACGGTGTAAAGCAGCCCCCCAGCATGGTACAACGCATGTCTGTAAATCTCGTCGCGCAGCTCACGCGGCAGCCGGAACAAGAGGGGAGAGTGATCCATAGTATAATCCTGTACATAGCATAGGGTGAAGCACGTCATCTTATAGTAGCTGAAGTCGTAAGCCGTAATGTCATCACGTTCTGTCATCCTTTTCGCCCGCGCGACGCTAAGGTACACGCATCGAGTAAGCATGTGGATGATGGGATTCAGCGATCTCAAACTTGTGCCCACGTGTAGCCTTTGGAAAACGGAGGCAGGAACAAGAGAAGCTGGGAAGAGCGCTTGATACCAACTCGTGGCTGGGGACTATGCAGCCCACCTGTATAGCATATCGACTACACATGACATAGCCTTTCATTGCCTATTGCAAGCTTGCTCTCCACCCGATTGACCTTCTCTTCTCCCATGGGTATGCGTACCATGTACAATACTGATTAATCTCCGCGCCAAATGCGGCCGCGAGCTTTCCCGTGTCCAACACTGTCGTGCCTGCCCTCGCGAATTTGGTTTCGATGGCTTGGTCGTGCCATCCATTCTCGTCGTCAGACTCAAGCTTCAAAAACAGATGGTGCCACTCGATACGAAAAACTGGATCACGGCAATTTGCTTGATCGTCCCCCGCCCGTCAATGACGGGCCGTCATTCTGGGACAAGTGTTTTTGCATTAAGGGGACAGGCTGATAGGATATCGGTGTTCTCTCGACAATCAAGGCCACGAGCGGTCAACGGATTGGAGGATGGATTCTTCTTCTTAGCTCTTCGCAGCTCCTCCACCTTCTCTGCCGATAATTCGCTGGCTCGTGCACCTCGAATCATGTCTGACTTTACATATCCATACGCTGGCCTTGCTCTCGCAGTGTAAGCCAAGTGCTAGTGACAGTCACCAAAGACTGCGCGGCAAGGCTGAGAACATTCTCGCTTTGCCTTGGCGTCGTGCTGAAGAGTCTCGTTGATGTCTTGCTCGCCCTGCTCCGAAAGAGATAATGGGCGCACACAGCAGCACGAAGAAACGATTGATTCTGGGAGATCCGCACGTTGAGCGAAGCTCTCTAGCGGAGCTTGTGTTTTTTCCATGCGTGTACTGAACGCTCTCCTCGACGCTCTGGATAGCATTCTCATCTCTGTCGAGATGCGTGGGCAGTAGCACTTGCTGCTGCGAAGCAAGTGTCTGGTGTCTCTCGTCAGCGGCGCAATGCATAGTCGCTCAAGTCAGTCTCAGGGCTCTTGGTGATACAGCTAGCGTTATCTCGCGGCCACGTTACGGGGCGTAGGTAGCAGCACCATAACATTCTTCGAGCGTCGAGTTTGCCTCCGCGCATCCGGGGGCAGCTAGAGTAGTTTGCTAGATGTTACACGGGGTTAGGCTATACTTCTCTAAGCTCGATCCGTACTAAGGCGAGATAGACTAAAGCGGTAGTCCGTGAGGTATCGTATGGAATGATCAGGTGGAAAAGAGTTATCGTTGTAACCAAAGGATAAACAATACCAATTCTATAAACGATAGAATAACTAGTTGACAATCTGTGTGAGAGATGAACTATTTGAGTTGACCACAACGAGTGTAATAATGAAATCCGTCCATCCTTTATACCCATTGCAATCTGTACTTGTCCTCCCTGTCCTCCCTTCCAAGAGGGAGGTACGGGAGGACTGTGGCTTCCCAATCCTCACTGGCCTCCCGGAGGCCAGGTCTTGGCGGGATGCCATCCCTGTCACGTGATCCAGGCCCCGCCTTGGATCCACATTCTTCCATCGTGTCCGCCCGATGGTCTCTCTTTATGCGACCTGCATCAAAGAAGAAACATTCCTTGTTACCTTGTAACACTAGATCTCACAAAGGCATTGTACTGGGAGACTGCGCTGGTGATGGAGACAATGTGGGCGTCAATTGTCACAGGGCAGCTGGCGTAACTAGTTGGTGCGTATTCTGCCCATCCATGTTCGGTCGAGATGTCAACAAACAGTCATTGGCTTCTACGAGATGGTACACAAATCGGGTCCTTCTCATCGCCCCCTGCATCTTTGTCCAACTATGGGCTTGCACCTCAACTGACCCGTGACCGGTATCCTCCCAAATGAGTACACATTACGGGCGGGATCCACTTTGATACGCGCGCGTCATGATTTGTACAGGCGAGACTACTCCACGGTTAGCAGGAACTGAACAAACAAGATGGAAGAAGAAGTGGGTTCTTCGCATTACCTGCCAACGTCTTCGTCCCAGGCCTGAGGATTGCATTTTTGGCAATTCTTCGCAGCGGCCCCGCCTGTCTTCCGACCGGATGTACGTGGAGGATCACGGATGGCACGACGATTTGTGGTTGATGGATCTGCTGTTGAGGCAGGGCAGGGCGTGACGAGTGCTGAGTGTGTCGTCGAAGCAATCCGTGTGCTGGCGATGGGGGGGACAATGGACGCCGTTTGCTGCCGTAGCCATGAAGGGGGTCTGCCATTACGCATCTGGGTCGCGCGAAACGCTATCTCTCTTCCGGGGAACCGAGCGCGAACAGGCTGGTCCAACTGTAGATGAGCTTTTCGACTCGACACCATAGACATGTTGCGCGTTTTCAGTCAAGACCGAGATTGCAGCGAGCGTGTCATGGCTATGAGCCGTTTCTCAGCAGAAACCTCGCGTGCACATCCTATCGTCCGCATCGCTCGCAACCAAGCACACCAACGCTTCAGCATGCGGAGCATAGCACGGCGGTTTCGTCTTTGCCCGCGTTCAGCTACTCGCAAGTAACAGCAGTTAATGATATTCGAGCAGGATCGTCAACAGGCGAGAGCGTCTTGGCGCATGACAGGCATTCTTCGCTTTGGGAGAACCGGACGCTAACGCAAGTGACGGTAAGCACGACAGCGTCAGATCAGCAGCGCGCAACCCCGACCTGGCATCACAACTCAACATCTTGTCTGTCTCGAAAAGTATCACGCTGATCACCATCGCTGTTGCTACCATCACCACTGCCAGGCCTGTCATTATTTTGATCATCGATGGTAGCTGAAGAGGAGACGGATGCAACGGCGAGCATCGAGACTTACGAAAGCGCAGGTGATGAGAGCGCTCCGTGTTTCGTTGCGCATAGTGAAAGGCGCGCAGGTAGGTCATCGGAGCCAGATTGCTGGAGTCTCGGTACTAGATCTTTTCTGTTAGCGCGGTCGGCCGATAGCTCCGGAACTCGAAGATAGCCGACCGTGACCCTTCGCGACTCGGCAGGGGTAGACGGTTGCGACAGCATGCTGTAATCTTTGACTTGGACGCACGAATTAGCTGGTCTTGTACATACAGTATCGCTGCATTCGATGCACAGCACCTCTACCTCTATAGCTACATTCGCGTCATCTCTATCCATTTCTACCCACCGCAGCTAAATTTTTTTTTAAAAAAAAAAAAAAATATCATTGGAGCGGGCTCTACGCTTGCCTGATACATGCAATTTATCACAGAAAGAGAACACACAACTAGCAGAGACCATGCTGGAAACGAAGCCTCAGTGTCAGGGACAGCGCGCCTGGCGCCCAACACGCAAATCCAGAGAACCTTACCTCCCTTTTGCGCAACCGCCAACTTTGCAGCACGACGCTCCGGCCAGGGTGCACACTGCCTTTGAGAAAGCAAGTGGTCCGAGGCCTCGGCGAACGATTCTTTCTTATTCAAAACTTGACCGACGAAAAAAAGCTCTCGTCTTTCTCGGATCTGTCGGAGTCCTCGGAGTCTTCAGGTTCCTCGAGGTTCCTGGAGTTCACGGATATCTCAGACTTTTTGAAGATTCCGGTAAGATCCAGCTTTGGCGCGCTGTCAGCGCTCGGTCCAGTCACCTGACTTTCCCGCCCTTGCTCCTCTCTACCCACCACGAACGCCACACAGCTCAGCAGAAACATCGCAAGGGATACGAGTGACAAAGCCAGCCATATTGTGCGTAGGGCTGTCTCAGTAACGTGGATCAAGATCTGCTTGTCTTCCGGGCTCGACATCTCCCGGATCGAGTACATGAGTGTGGTGGCATACTTGGTCATGTTGTCAGCCTCGCTCCTGAACTTGGTCGAGCCAAGGTTGCTTCGCAACACACGCTGGAACACAAGCCCGACGATGACCAGGCCCGAGGCACTTCCCAGGTAGCGCATGAAGATGAAAACCATAAGCGCTTCCCGCACGCCGGTGCCTTTCTTGCCCTCTTGAGCGCTAAGCGCTAGAGCTGGCAGAAGAACGCCGATGCCGAATCCGGAGAGCAGGTTCAGCGATACGTCGGATGCGGCCGATTTCTCTGCACCAAGCAAGGCTAGCAGACCCATTCCAACCGCGGTACAGAACCAGCCGAGTAGAACCGCGCAGCTATAGTGCAGTCGGAGCAGCTGCACAAGTACCAGTACGACCCCCGCACACGGAGCCATCATCAGCGTCTGTGGCAGCAGAAAGACACCTGTAGCGATTGCAGACCGCTCCTTGACAACTCGGTAGTAGATTGGAAGGAAGAAGAGTAGCGCGTACATCTGCGCTGCGTTAGACTGAACACGTGCCCCGGAGCTGCACGGAGACCTACAAGCAATCCTAGCCAAAAGGCGCCCCCGAGTGCGACGATGCTTTGCCTTCCCTTGAGCAGCCTTAGACCGAGCAAAGGCTTCTGAAAGGCGTTTCTGCTTCCTAGCGGGAACGGGACGCTGGCTGGGCATAGTTCCTTGACGATGAGCACCAGAAGGAAGACGCCTCCAGTGGCAACTGGTGCAATGACTTGCCATTGAGTCCATCGGTAGAGGCTACCAGCAAGGCTCAGGCCCACGAGTAGAGGCGCAACCGACGTGAGAAAGAGTACAATTCCGACAAAATCCAGATCTGAAAGTTTTGCACGAGGGGAATCAGCGTTGGGAATATCGCTACTGTTGCGTGCAGGCACTCCAGGTTCCGCAGCGGATGTATCTCGGCTGGAAACGTCGCTACCGTTGTACACAAGCACACCCAGTACCACGCACATGGGTATGTTCAGACGGAAGATCCAGCGCTGGTACAGTGGTCAGCTCGCGTCTTTCAAGCAGCGGGACGATTGTTACCCAATGATGGTTGTCGCTCAGCGCGGCGCCAATGAAAGGACCGCAGATGGTGCCAGCAGCGACAAAAAGACTGATTGCGGCTAAGAACTTGGGCCCACTCCCACTCCCACTCCCACCCTTACTCTGCTTGTTCATATCGCCGCAGACGGCATAAGAGAGCACCATGAGCCCTCCGGCGCCAAGGCCTTGGACGGTGCGTCCTGTCAGCAGTAGCGGTACCCCGTCCGCGCTCTCACAGAGGAGCGATCCGATGCCCAGCATCATAATGGATGCCAGCACAAGGCTTTTCTGGAGGAAGACATTGGAGAGCCGGGACACGATAGGCTGCGACAAGCACATGGAAAGCAAGTACGAGGCTCCTACCCAGAAGCTCTCGGTGGCATTGCCTCCGAGGTCTGCCGTGATGGTCTATCGTGTATCTGCTCAGACTTGGTTGCGTATCTAACGGTATAGGTAAGGACTTACAGAAACGGCGAGAACGATGCTGGTAGCATCGATAGCAACCAAGAAAGTGAACGTAAGCAGAGATGCCAGCAGCATCGCCACCTGCGCCGCCATGCTTGCAGAAGCGGCTTTCTGGCCGTTGGTGGGATGGGAAGCAGAATTTCCCACAGCAGAAGCAGGCCTTTTGCGGCCTTCTGGGAGGTCGTACAGCCTATGGTACGCGCCAGATGCAGTGTTGTACGAAGAGACGGCAATGGCGAGTGGTCTGGCTGGGAGGTAGATACGCGACGTCTGGTCACGCCCTTCGACAGGAAACACGACCAGAGCGATTGCCTTCTCTCTTATGCCGCTGACTGGGTTATCACATGCTAGAAGGTGACACACTCCAAGGCAGAAGACAAGAGCGCACTTGTGGTCGACATGAACATTCAGAACCTGCTGACTGCCCAAGGTGAAGGGCTTATGCCGTCTCTCACAATGGCCTATGCCGGCACATAGCTTCTTCACAGCCGTAAGCACAGAGAGCCACATCGTGGGAGGATAGGAGCGTCGCCGCGTATGCTGGTACATCTTGTTTTCTTCCATCGCCAGTTGGCCCCAGCCAGACTTGCCAACAAGCAAGCCAATCAAGCCGATCTAGCTACATTCGGTAAGATCTTAACCTACGCGAGTTAGTCAATTACGATACTGGGTTAGACCGGCTTGATTGGCTTGCTTGTTGGCAAGTCTGGCCCTAGCTATACAGTAGAGCCCATTTTTTACTCTGGTCCCTTGAGTCTTACTGGCATGCGTGGCTCACGACACTTCAGACTTACTGCACAAGCTCCTCAATGTCCCGCAAGCGATATGGGAGCTCTACATCCACCAAGAGATGACCATATTGTGAGATGTTTCTCCGATGACGGGAAGAGTGAAAGCGTTGCGTAGACAACACCGGCGTTTACTGACATGATGACGCTTACGTCGTCCCCAGATATTATATAACTAGCGTCTCTGCTTGTGAACCACGGCGTTCGTAGCGAAGACCTCTAAAACATGAGTGTGTCACCATGGACGGCGCTTCCGGCGGAATTACGCGAACAGGTCTATGCATATGTGCTTACGGCGCCCTCGGGTCTTACCTACCGTACAGGAACAGACGGAGTAGAGCGCATCTGCGCACGCGAAAAGCAGGCCGCACATGTAAACATGTCGAGTGATCATCTGCTTGCATTGCCCCACTACCTGTACCACAGTCTCTTGACCGTCTCTCGTAGGGCAGCCATCGCGCCAGAGGAATTAGAATTTAATCAGATCCAGTACGTCAGCAGACAGTGCTACCGAGAAGCACACGGCCTCGAGTTCCGTTACAACAACATCCTGTTTGAGGACAGTTGCGATGTGAGTGCGGGTCAACGGTGTCGTGTGTTTGTGAACAGAGCGGTGAAGCAACACTATGCACAGTACCTGAACCTCTCGATCCGTGGCTCTGGCTTCTCCATCCGGCCGCCAGGGTTTGGCAGCAGCCCCATCACGCTGGCTCAATTTTGTGTGCAACATCCAAAAGCGTCTCTCAAGTTACACCATCCCTTCTGGTCCCAGCGAAGTCCTGGCTTTCTGCTTCTAGGGCTCGCCTATGCTGCTGCCATCCGTGGCCACACACTACTTGAGCAGCTCGTCAGAGAGCAGGGACCCATGCTGGACTTTGATTTGACGCTGATCAGATCGAAGCTCCCCAAGGAAGGGATGCCACGCAACTTTCGGCTTGCTCCGTGGGAAGAGAGTCTGGACATACCAGCGCTGCGTGAGTCGTTGGGGGAATGCTTATTCTTCAAGAGCGAGAACAGCCCGGGATGGCTTGATCTGGCAGAGAACTGGTTTGTCGAAGGCCTGTAGTGTCCGACAATGGGGACTGACCACCAGCACTGGAAAGCAGTGCAATTAATCAGACTGCTAGAACACAACGTCTGGTCCTGTCCGCGATGGATGTACACTCTGATGCACTGACAGTTTCCGCTCTTTGCATGCTGCCTAGGTCTCACCCGACACCATCTATCGTCTCGTCTAGTGAGCGCTTGCCCAAGATATCTTTGTGTCTGTAAGCCTCTGCCGTTATTGATTAGGAGATAATGGTGTCTCCCTACATAAGGTACCGCTGACAAGAGCTAGCGCTATTCGGTGAAGCCTATCATTAGGCGAGACGACAGATGGTGCGGGGTGAAACATTGACTGCTTGCAAGAACCGGAAACTGCGAATGCATGAGAATATACGTGCGATAGGGGTTCGCGTACTCCCAGTCGACAACCCAAGTCTGATAGGAAGGTGAGATAACTGCCTCCGTGCTTGGTAAGGAAGGCTGAGGTGTGACGGCTCGTCTACTGTTGTCCCAAGTATCCTCTCCGGAGACGCGGCAAGGGTGCGATTGTATTATCCCGAGAATAGGGATCGCTCGTGAGTCGAGTAAGAAGCAGCATGCGACACACGCAGCAGCCTTGCCTGTCCGTACACTACGCAGGCCCATACCGTCGACCCCCGTCATCTGATAGCAGTCAGTAAGCAGGACGAGCAATTCTAACGTCTCACATGGCGAAGGTCTCAACATGCACACACACAATGATCCCTCGCGTTACCGAGAGTAGTGATCGGTGGCTCCCCTAGAATAGAAGAAAGCTGAGAAAGCAGAAGAGTCTTATACTTCGCCTTGCTTCTGGCGATTTTCACCCAAACTTCTAGTACTTCAGCGAAGAAGAGCTTGTCGCGAGGCTGTTGAAACGACAATGTCGAGATGGTCGAGATGCTCGCTACCCAGGAAACCGCAACGTCCCCTCCACATGGAACCCCCAAAACGAAGAGCAATCGCGGTCTAGCGGTTAGGGTATGCTCTAGAAGAAGAAGTTAGAATGTTTAAGTTCGATGAAGAACTACAAGCAGAAGCGAAGTGTCGTGAGAATACAGCCTCATGGCATGCTCTCTGCAGCCGTACCCGATAGTTGATGCAGCTTTTACCGGTAAGCACAGCCCCAACATCATAGCATCGTGAGACCTGACAACAAATCTAGTGGTGAGAGACGTCTCGAAGTGATCACGGCTGCCTGCCTTTTTCAGTATCGCATGGCTAGTAGTCACGACGGATCCCGCTAGCCTGCGTTGGCCATGAAACCCTCCAGAATCAGTCAGCAGGCGCCACGGCCCGCCCGACAGGATCATAGCCGTCTCGGAAATGAGGCGAAACAGTCATGTGCGATAGCGATATCACCCTTGCCATCCTACGAATGCTATTTTACGACTTCCTCTCTATCACGTGCCTCTTTGGCGCGCCCCTCTTACCTTTTGAGGAGATCAGAAGACTGCCCCCCACAGTACTCTTTGGCGCTGGCCAAGGTCAGGAGCCTTTCTCTTAATCTTGTGATTCTCTCTATTCCTCTAGCTCGCCCAGCTGGATTATGCCAACGATATTCACACCCGCGATGGACGGCTATCTCTGTAACCACACAGAAACTGAGAGAGGCGACAGGTGAGCAACGGATAGGAAGGCAGCATCTCGCCACAGCCTAGGAGGAAGGTTTCTACCTTAGTTATCACCGAAGTCAAGGTCTGCGTGTAGAGAATCGTACGGGTCTTGGACGTGCTGTCAGTCACTGCGTCTACCGCTCTTCACTCCGGTTTTGAACTTCGCCCGCCTACCTAACAGCAGCGTCGGTTGCCCTTGGAGGCTTCGCTGATCTAGACTGATATCGCAAGCGCTGAAGAACATACAGACATCGCATAGGCAAACTCAAGCCCACGCAGCATGCACTCTGAGCATCTCTGAGAGAAGATGGCGGACCAGATGCCTTGGCCGAGTGCCTTGTCTTCTTGTAGTGAAGCATTGAACTACGCGCTAGACAGCATGCATCGACCTTTTGGCGCTCTTCTCGAACTTTGAGAGATGGCACTTGCTGGCGACCCACAAACAACGAGCCACTTCCAGTCTCCGCATCTCATACGCTTCCTATGCGAACCGACGCTCACGAATGAAGATAGTGGCAAAAACAAGTAACTGACGATTCTTGGATGAGTCAGCCAAATTCTCCCAACACCTTCACCACAGCCAATAGCTTCTACCTTTCGAGAGAAGAGAATTCTTCCCTCTCCCCTGTCTTGCCTTGGACACCTTGTCTATCCCCAAGAACACCATGTGTCCGCTGGAAGTAGTTTCTCCAAACGCCGACACCGTAGACCTCTTTATCGACCAGAGATGACGCAAAGTTGCGTATCATCGTACGGAACGGTGGAGTACACCTTTCGGTGAGCGATTTGGTGTATCGTACGAGCTCCGTCTCATGTTCTGGGTGGAGGGAAAAGTGGGCGATGGCGTGCGGCTGGCATTTGTCTTGGTGTCTTCGAGCGAGCGTACTATCGTTGATGCTGAAACCTTTTTGCAATTTCGCGATAGAGAAAAGCTGCGCCTTCTTCACATGATTTAAGGTGTTTAATCGCTTTCTGAATTGGGTCTATGGTCGTGGAGTTAAGACGCATTTTGTTACGTGGTGGTTGTGGTGGGGTGCGTCAAAACTCGACCCGAGGCAAAAGGTGACCGTGCACGGTAACAAGATAACCGTCCCAACTTCAACGCGTCATAACTCCACTACTATGGACCCAATTCAGGAAGCGATGGAAGCAATCAAATCGCGTGAAGCTGGCGAATCTTTCTCGTATCGCAAAGTCGCGAAGAAAAAAAATCCGGGGTTGATCGCTCAACGCTGTCGCGGAGGCACCAGCACAAAACTCGCTCAAACGCAGAGGAGGCGCGCCAGCTACAGTTACCGTCGCAGGCTAAGCGCTGTCGGGAACATGAATCTTATTATTAGTAACGCCTTGCGATGATCTCCATATAAGCTGAGCTAAGATGCTAGAACAATACAACATATACACACTTCATAATTTCTCGTACTTGCAACACCGCACCCAACCGTGAGACAGGTACTCAACCCACAATAGAAGTTAGAGCTAGTACAATACATACAGAAATGTACAAAGCGAGGTTTGCCACCGAAGCGAGAGATGGTAGCAAATTTCGCCAGCGCGATTGCGAAGTGGGAGGTCTTCAAAAGCTGGGTTACTCGATTTCTGAACCGCCACGCTGACCAGCTTACCACCAAATAGAGCGCTGGTATCGATCGTGAGCGCCATGAAGCTGATAGTAGAGAAAAGGACAAGGCATACTTCAATCTACTTCACTCTAAGATGCGCGAGTACGAGGTTGACGAGCGTAACACGTACAATATGGATGAGAAGGGCTTCTTCGTCGGCGTCGCCTCACGATCAAAACGAGTCTTTAGTAAGGCATTTTGGCAGTTTAAAGAGCGTACTGAAGCGATCAAAGATGGCAACAGAGAATGGGTAACGCTTATTGCTTGCGTATGCGCTTCTGGAGAGGCACTGCCGCCCGCCCTCGTTTACCAGGGCTCATCTGGAATTCAATCGACCTAGGTTGACGACGTAGAGGTCGGCAAACATGAGGCTTTCTTCTCTAACTCGCCCACAGGCTAGTCGAACAATGATCTTGGGCTTGCCTGGCTCGAACAGTTGTTCAACCGCCATACTACAGCCAAAGCGCGATGTAGATGGCGACTTCTGATCCTCGACGGCCACGGCAGCCACGTTGCCGCCGATTTTATCGACTTTTGCAACACCAATCGAATCCTACTTGCTATCTTTCCCCCGCACTCAACCCACAGCCTTCAGCCGCTTGACGTAGTGCTGTTCTCGCCGCTCGCGAGGCACTACACTACAGAGCTCAACCACAAGCTCCACCGATCGCAAGGACACTCGATAAGCGCGAAAAAAGCTTTCTTTACAAACTTCTGGGCGGCCTGGGGCTCTATAACTAAGCTAGAGACGATAAAGAAGAGTTTTGAAGCTACAGGCGTGTAGCCGATGGACGCGGAGCCTGTACTGAAGCGCTTCAACAATCGCACTTCGCCACGATGATCGCTTTTGCGAGTGGCTGTAAAGCCTCATATTTCTAGAGTACCCCTGTTATTGGGGTGGCTCATCGGCTGAACTGGCTCATCGGGTGCATGGGCACGGTAAGTGATTTATGTTTTTTTCCCTCAAATTACCTGCACTGCGTGTTCGGCTTCTCTCTTTTCCATTCCCATGGCTTTGCGATCTAATCTTATCCCCAATATTGCACTCCATCTTGCACCCACAAAGAACAGTAGGCGCCTCTCCGGCACAGTCCGCAACAAGCAAGCCGACTTGAAGGGCTTGGCTTGTAGGCTTGATGGCTTGAGGCCATAATCAAGTCAAGAAAGCAGTCTAAGACTTGAAGAGCAAGCCTTCAAAATAGTAGCTGTAGGCTTGATAGCTTGATAAGGCTTGACCTACTTTTTATGCTATTCCAAGTAGAGGATGGAGGTGTTAGTGTTCCTCTAATTACGCTAAACCAAAACCGTCCGGTCGCGTTCTAGAGTAGCGCGTTTTAAAGTAGCGTTCACTCCTAAGACTACTGTATTTTCCCCCTCTGTTATTTTCAGAGCCCTATACAAAGCGCTAAAATGCCCCTGAAGAGCCAGAAGAAGCGCGCGTGCGCGTCTACGACCAACGCTAAAGCCTCTAAACGATTGCGCGTATCTCAACACGTCCTGTCGCCATCGCCGCCATCGTCCCCATCGTCGCCGCTATCGCTAGAGCAACCGTGGGAGTCGCAGTTCTTAGAGTCGTAGCCTGAAGCTCGATCTCGGCACCTACTGAGCATGGCAGCCGTGCTGCCACCACCTCAATAGCGGCTACAGAGGAGAGCTGCGGCGGCTTAACTTGGGAGGACGGGGGCGAGGACAAGGATCACTTTGAGGGTGTTGTTTGGGAGCGCCTCAGCCGCTTTGCGAAGCCCGTAAAGAGGCCAACAGGC